ACCTTTGATTCGTTCAATAGACGGAAGAGCACAACTTAATTTAGGGCAATGATGTACTGATGCTCACAACTCCACTTAAGATCGGGCTGTTAGATAACCTCTGAGTTCAATTTATCTGTCAGGTTTCATTTAAATCAACATGATGCATTTGCCATGGCCTGTTTCCTTCGACTTTGCTTAAACTGGCAGTTTGTGGGCTCATTGTTTACAGCTTTAAATACAAATAACAACAGATTTTCTGTCAGTCATTCTAAAACAAAACATTAATGATTATATTTTATACACAAATATTTTGCAAAGCATATATGCTCTTTCTATGCAATACTTTATACATATTCACACCTGGCAGCTGTCTAGTAAACCTTCATTGTTCATAGCGGAGTGTGCTTTGCTGTAGGCCAGCAGTCCCCAAGGACCCCTAAATAGATAAGCATTAGACTCGCATTAGACTCACACACCCCTTTTTTGACTTGACTTTGTCCTGAGGGGCCCTGCCAGAGAACTGTGTTTGTCGTAAGATATGAGACATAAGACATTTTAAATTTTTAGCCTTGGCCTGGTGCCTTGGGGGTAGATAAAGTAATGTAAATCAAAGAGGACTTCATTTAAATGCTCATCTGTCCTACCCTGCCAATATAAGCTTCCAGACTGGGCAGGGAAGCTGCTTTGATTTTGAGCCATTATGCTAATGTCAACTGTATTTACCATAACAGTAAACTATGACAAGAGTGTTTCTATCTGAATAACAACTACAAACACTGCTACAAAGGTGGATCTTATGATCTTATAAGGGCGAATGCCAATTAGCAGCATTTGTCAGCATTAAACAAAGTCTGCAAATCAGCAAGTTTCACAGCAACAGAAGACAGTTAACAAAGCTCCAGAAAGGCCGAATCACACAGTGCTGAATTAGTTAAAGACCTTCATCATCATCATTTTTTTTTACTTTTTTGTCCACTTTCTGAACGGTATAGTCATAGCTGAGAGTGGGAAAGTAATATTTCCTTTCTTTTTTGAAGTGTTACTGAGATTTGAACTGACAGCCATACATGTACACTTCACTAACATTTAACCGTGCCCTGGATTATACTGAACTACGAGCACACAAAAGCTGGATTCAGGGATACACAATACAAGTGCACTCCAGGAGGGAACATTTGATTGATGATGTATTCACAGCCAAACCTGGGAAATTAGCCCACAGTGGACACACATGCCACCTATTCAAAATGCTCTTTGACTGCGACATGAATGCCCCAATATAACCATATTAAGCCATTAGAGAGAAACAGTCGGAAGCTCATCACATCCGCCCCACACCAATACGGCCTCCATTAGCTGCGGAGTGACCCTGTGAACTCCTGTGATTAATATTTCAGACCAAACACACTCCTAACCCAGCACCTCTTCCCCCACCTCCCCCACTACCACCATCACCTCAGCATCACATCACCCTCCATAATTAATTATCCAGTGTTTGCAGCTCCCTGCCAGTCCAGTTCTATTAATACCCAACCCCCCAAATTTCTTTCGCACTCACACACATACACACATGCACACATTTTTATGTCCATACTGGCCCTGGGCAGCTAATTAATATCAAAATTTAATGGTGCCGCACTACATTTATTGGCATTTGTAGCTTGCTATGAGCTGCAGTATTGGAGTATTGCTGGTGGTTTTATAGTTTCTTCATGGTTTCATCTCAGTGCATGACCAAATTTGGGAGGCTCTGATAGTGCATGGATCTGTTTTCTGCACAGTGCTGCACCTCTATTATACACAGAAAAGTCTGCACCCCCACCCCCAAAAACCCCCCAAAATAGGACATGTTTAATTTCCAGCTTTCCAATTGCAATGTTTGTTAAATCAACAGCTGTGCATCATACATCTCTGCTCTCTCATAGCTCAAGGTTCTCCACTCAACGTTGTATCACAATCACATCCCTGTTTGTTGAATGAAATGTGATTAAATCCAGTCTTACAAGGTTGTTTCAGCACAACTTTAATCCACAACTGACCGCTGGCTGCAGCTGACAGAGTCAGAGCCAAAGATGCTGTGCAATTCTTCCCATCAAATATGGTCACTTTCATTCCAGATTTTGTATATAATCCAAGGTTGGACGAGTGACTTCAAAAATGTCTAGTCAAAAATCTGAAATATAAAGCAAGTTTGTAAAAAAACAAACAAAAACTAAATGAATTGTGAAATGAAAAGGTCAGCTATATTATTATATGTATAAAAAGGAAATACAGTGTTCTTGTTAGATATATTACACATTTTTAGCACTGTAAAAACTGCTGCAACACAAAGAGTGCCTCAACTGAACAGTTATTATCCTACAAAAACTTCAGAATGTTTAAGGTAATATATTATCATCTACAACAATAAAGACCATTCGTGTTGTGTCTGCATAGAAGCTGGGAATATCAGATCTTTCCATGAAGCACTCTGACAAGATAAATTCATCAGAAACCTATAATCCTTTCAGTCTCCTCTTTTCAATCCTCTTCACCCAGGAGAGGAAAATGTAGATGATGGGTTTATTTTACATACTGTGTAAATGCAGAACACAATGTTGCAGTATGTAGCAATGCGTACATTTTGTCCTGCAGGTGTCTGTCCTGTGTAAACAGCACGTTTCGCTGCCACTGGTGTAAATACCGCAACCTGTGCACCCACGACCCCGGCAGCTGTTCTTTCCAGGAGGGCAGAGTCAACGCCTCAGAGGTACTGTACCTTCACATTAAGCGTGAGTTACATTTTCATTAGCTGATTAAATTGTAGCTTCCAAGTGCAAAATTGATCTGTTCCCGTGTGACACTTTTACCTTAAAGGTACAATCTGTGATTTATATATGAAAACATAGCTGCACTACAAAGAATCCGCCAGACTAAAACCGTATAACCATGCTAGAAGCTCTCTGTGGCTATGTGTATGTACAAACAGCCGTGTTTTGAGTTGAATGCTAGTGTCAGCATGTTAATATGCTCACAATAACATTGCTAGCATGTTGCATGTATAATGTTTACCATTTGGTAAGCATGTGTAAACATGCTAACATTAGCTAATTAGCCGAAAACCATACGGTCAATGTACAAAACACGAAGTACAGCTGAGGCTGATGGGAATGTCTATTGGCTTTGCGAGTATTTTGTCGTAAACCAAAGTACTGGATAAATAACAAAGTAAAATAACTCGAGCAAAGTAATAACATTAATTCAATTCAATAAAATTTTATTTGTATAGCGCCAATTCATAACAGAAGTTATCTTTTCAAATAGAGCAGGTCTAGACCGAACTCCTTATAACATTTACAGTGACCCAACNNATTATTTACAGAGGCCCAACAGTTATTAAAAAGGGGACATTTGTCTCCACCAAATTTAATGGCAATCTACCCAGTAATTGTTGAGATATTTTATTAAAAACCACAAATTTCAATCTCATGATGGCCCTTTAGGAAAAGTCAGGGGATCACAAAAGTCATTAGGATTTATCGTCTAGGAACTATGAATTTCTACCAAATTATCCCTCAGATAGGGATCGCCATCCCTCAAATAGAGATAGCCAGGCTGGCTTAAAATTATTGACATTACATTTAGAGGATTACAAAATACAAAAAGAATTTACTGTTGAAAACCAAATACATTGACAAAAAGTATTATAATATTATAATAATCCTAAACAATATGGTTGTATACACATTTACAACGGACCATAGTCTCACAGTCTTACATATAGTTAGACATATAGACATATCCTGTAGCATATGAATGCAAATTATATTTGGATTAACAATTTATTTGCCACATTAATCCCAGTGCTACATAAGCCCTTCATGTTTATAAACCACATTCATATGTATTAATACAGATTACATACGAGAGATAGCTAGACAGACACATAAAGATAGAGGCCTACATACTGTTGATCCATAATTCAATTAATCTCCAAAGGGAAAACTAGTTACTACTTATGTATTTATGCATAATATTGAGGCATAACAGCAGGGACATGGAAAAAGCTGCTTTTATTACTGTGAATAGTACAGTTATGTGTTTTTGTATGTTGTTTCCACAGGATTGCCCTCAGCTCCTCAACTCTGGGGAAATTCTCATTCCGGCCGGTGAGGTCCGACCCATCACCCTGAGGGCCCGAAATCTTCCCCAGCCGCAGTCGGGCCAGCGGGGCTACGAGTGCGTGGTGCATGTGCAGGGTGCCAGCCACCGTGTCACAGCGTTGCGCTTCAACAGCACCAGTGTGCAGTGCCAGAACAGCTCGGTATGACCTCAAACACTCCCAGTGGGAATCTCACAGCTGTCAAGTGAGGCACACAGCTTGGATGCTGTGTAGGCAAGGTACATAGGGTACATCAGTGAATACCGCCTGAGGTGTTGAGCATACTGAGGAGAATGTAGAGGAAAGGGAAAGTAAGAGTCATGAGAAAAAGTGTAAAGTGTGTGATAGAAAGGAATAGAGTGGCAGGAAAAGAAGGAAGGATGGAAGAGAAGAGAAGGAAAAGTGGTTAAAATCAAAAGGATTGAAACCATAACTCCAACGTGATCTTGTCTGCTATGCTGGATATTGTCAGACTAACATCTAGGTGTTGACAAAGCGTAAATGTGATGCTCCCAAAAGACAGTGACAGGTTTGGAATGAATAAAGGTGATTTTTTGGTAATATTGTTGCACAATGCAAATCATAGGCTAAATTTTAATGCAAAGCATACCTTGCTACTCTGTGACAATGAATGAAAAGGCCATTTTCCTCAGATGTGGATGATTGGCCACCCCAGGCAGGGTTTGCGTCCCTACATGTCAAAGAGGAGAGGAGCAGACAACCATGGCAGAAATGACAGATGGTTAAAAGCCTCGTCTCTCTGGTGCCCTTTCATCCTCTCATTTTCCCCCACTCTGTCTTTCTCTGTATCTTTTTTTTTATTTTACTCTATCCTCCGTCTCTCTTTGACTTTCTCTCACTCTGGATCCACTTACTGCACACTCCCTCACTCTCTGTTTCTGCTTTTCAGTACATGTACGAGGGTGTGAAGATCAGTGACCTGGCAGTGGACCTCTCCATCGTATGGAACGGCAATTTCATCATCGACAATCCCGAGAAGATTAAAGGTGCCTTTGCCATCCATCACTGCCAGGCCAGAGAAGTGTAAAGCACTCAATCCACAGGGGATAGATGGGTCATAGAGATCACTTCAAGGCTTCCAAAGGGCCTTGCGAGAAAGTTCACAATAGCAGAGAGTGTTATCAAAAAGCACCCAATCACTTGTGTTGCCCAGAAGGATGAAGGGTGAATCTTCATATTTGCTCAGTTTGGCTATCACGGCCGCTCTTGGATTCCTCTTCATCATCATCATGCAAAAAAAAGGTGTTTGTCAGTTGTCATTGTGGGTTGTACATCAAATATATCCCTGTTACCAAGGATATACACAGTGACGGCCATGAATCTGAACAGGCCTTGTCATTACGTGGGTAAGTTACTTTATATGGGCATAAATAAAGGCTACTTACAGGAGAGAGGATGTGAGAGACAGACTTTAAAGAAAGGTTTATTGGATTAATACACCATCTTCTTTTTTCTTAACACTTGGAAGGAGGAACTTAAACAAACATGCTTTTTATGGATTTTATTGAATTCACAAGTTAACTGTCCATGGTTGCAACAAGTTATTTCTGGAGTTGAATGTAAATGCCGACTATTTAGGAATGCGTTCTGATTGGATGATTAGTTGGTAGATCTAACTGTAAAAAAAAAAAATGTTGCAGAATATTCTTATGACCTATTAATAGCAGTGATATTGTTGTGTTTTTTGATAGCTGCAAACATCAATATATGTGAAATTACTTCATAATTTACCAGACCAAACATCCTCTGTGTCATCCCACAGTGCACCTCTACAAGTGCAGTGCCCAGCGGGACAGCTGTGGCATGTGTCTGCGGGCAGAGAGGAAGTTCCAGTGTGGATGGTGTAGTGGCGAGGGACGGTGCACCATGAAGCAGCACTGTCTTCCTATCTCCCCCTACGCTAGCCGCTGGCTCAACCTTTCTGCCAGGAATGTCAAGTGCACCAACCCACGCATTACTGAGGTTTGTTGTGTGTTTGTTTGGGCTGTTTCCCAGTAAGTCAGTCAGTTAGTCTGTTAGTCAGTCATGCCACAAAGCTTACACATATAATACATTTAAATAAATTGTATTAGCTCAAAACGTGTGTTTAGTAGTTACAGTAACTAAGAATGCAGCTTTATTTAGTCATTTGATTTTTCAGGAGCAGGGATTTCTTCAACAAAATGTTCCATTTGTTTTCTCCAACTATATTTAAAAAAATCAAAGTAATACAAGTTTTAAGTCTCGAACTAGACAAGACAGCTGAAAGCAATTATGGCATTGTAGTAATTTGTGTGGAAACTTTAAAGTTGATTGGTAGACCTCAGTTTAATATTGTTGGACAGTTTTGAGCTTTGTGGGATTAAACAAGACTTCTTAAAAATTAAGTTAAAATAACATCATTTTATGGCTTAAGACTTTATTTTAAGGTGGGATCATATACCACAGTTTTGTTCATATGCATAAATAGAGTAAGCATAACCACATTTCCTGTGATTATTAATAGTTTTTACTTCTGGAAACCACAATTTGAGTTCTATTGTTGCCTTTACTGGAAGAGCTTTGGAGCTAAAGCCTTTGAACAAAATGTCCAGTCACAAGCCTCTTCAGCCATCTGTCTATCTGTACCGCTTAGTACAGAAAACAGTATGCCAGCACATCTTGATGGATATTCCTGGTAGTCAACAACAAACACAAACTTTATCTGTGGCCACCTTTCCAGTTTCCCATCCAAGTGTCTGTTTACCTGAGACTTTCTCACATTTTTATTCCACGGCCGCTGAATACCTAAAGTGCTCAACAGCTAAACGGATTCAGTTTGTTTAGAGAGTGGTGATGGATCTTTTATGTCACAAACTCCTGTTCATTCTCTTGAATGAGGCGCAGTGGGTCAGGCACAGAGATGCAAGACTCTTCCACTTCAAAGAGCTGCGAGCCTTTGATGTCCCTGTCACATTATTAGTGTTTCTGAAGGAGCTGCAGCAGAATGAATCAACTACCGGGTGCTGCTTGGGAGTGGGGGGAGTGTTGCTCCGACATCGCTCCTGTTCTGCTCTGCAGGTCCAAAGGTTTCCTGCTGGGATGGTTCACTTTACATTGGAAAGGACTGTGAATAGGTTTCTCAAGGTTTTGCTATTCACTGCATCATTCATTAAAGTTTTTTTGGAATTATGATGGAATTCAAGGCTTTTGAAGTATGTGAGCTATGTTTTTCACATATACTTATATATGATAAATGTAATTCATGTTTACATAGAGATTATTAAAGACTGGTAAATCAAAGTAAACCGGACTGAAGATTCTGTAAAGAATCTAAAGAATTGAGAGTATAAAGCAAGCCCAGTCACCTTTGACTCAGCACTACAATACTGTGCTATGGTTTTAGGTGTTGTTTAACCAGCATATGTATATTTGAGGGCCAGTATTTTTGTACTAAAGTAGCCACGTTCATATTGGAAAACCATTTAAACCATTTGACTCTCAACTAAAACTGCAACTAATTACATTATTTTGGAGTTTAACTCAACATTTCATTCTCTAATATCATATCATAAAAAGTCATTATTTTTTTTTATTATTATTTATTATTATTATTATTATTATTATTATTATTATTATTATTATTTTATTTTATTATTATTCTACTTGCATTGCA